TTTAGAGAGAATTAGGGTTTTTATTTATTTAAAGTATTTTTTCAGTTTCTCTTATTACATGTAACTCTTATCATAATTTCCTCCTCCTGTTTTTCTTAAGTTGGTTTCTTGTCCTTTTCTACTGTCTGAAGTTGAGTATTTCCATTTAATTCTTATTTATTGATTGATGAAAACATTTGCTTGTGATTGCCACTTTGTACACTTCCCAATGGTTTGATAAAGAGAATAAAAATCATTCTATCCTAAAATTCTGATTGTAGTAGTATTCTGTGATGGTAGTATTATTTCTTCTTTTATAAAAAAAAAAAATGCTGATTTTTTTGAGGTATTACTTTTTGTGCATATTTTGTTTTCTGTTATAATGCATTATAGTCAGAGAATGTAGCCTGAGTAATTTCCATATTCTGAAGTTTATTTTTCATTTTTATCTATTTTACATGGCCAGTTTCTGTGTGTGTTTCATAGGTGCATTAAAAGATGCACAGATGGATGTTCTCTCTCTTTCTATGTATATATGTACACATATACTATTCACTCTGTAGTTTCGTCTTCTCTTTTTATTTAATTTCTAATTTACTTATCAAGATATGAAGGAAAGTGTTAATTTCAAATTACTTAAATAGCCATATCTGCCCATTTCCTCTTGTATTTAAAAGTATTTTTATACATGAAAATGGACTTCTTTTTGACACAGAAAGCTTCCTGAATGTTTTATGGTTCTGCAATATTTTCTATTCTTTAGCTATATTGTTAAATTTACTTAAAAAAAGTTCTCCACAACTGTCCCAAGATTCAATCTCAGCCCCTACTCTTCTGAATAAAAGGGTTTATCTCCTTTACTTTTTTCCAGCAAGCCTGAACTTCTTTTTCAAGAGTGGTGTTGTTCATCATCCACTAATACCATCTTTTTTTCCATTGGCATTTGGCCTGGTTGGAACTCCTGGACATTTTCAACATGTTGTTGTTATGTCCCATCAAGTCTTCCAAATATAGATAATACCTTACCTTATTTTCTGCCTATGTCAAATATTAAATTTTTAAAATTCCCTTTGTCATCATTCCTGGCTTCTCACTCAGAAGTA